TACACACATACACATTTTGCATTTAAGATAAAAATAATGTTTTTATTTGTCAACATGCTCTATCCAGAAGTGGAAAAGTAGGACATATTTGAATGTGGCACATGGCTCTAGACCGGAAGTAAGTGGAAGCGGTCCCTCTCGTGCTGAATTTCCAGGTTGAATCATTAACCCAGTAGGGGGGGCTTTCTGGGTTATTAGCGGTAGATGTAGAGCTGCTGGTCAGTGGTCTAACTTCTGAGTTTATATCCTACATTTAAAGTTAAACCCAAACAAAGGCGGCCCACAGGATTCACCTCCACTCTGAGCCCTGATTGTTATGGCTGATAGCAATAAGAAGGTGTTCGACATTTTCCAAAGCATGGAGGAAGGACCATCCGCCGCCAGCAGCGCTGCCAGCGCTCAGGTAAGGTTCATCAGTCGCTGACATCAGGATTTATCTGGAGTTCTTTGGGTTCAGAAAAGCAGGTTTACAGCTCAGTTCTCCCCCACGTGGATTAGATTAACAGCTGTAACATGTGACCCACTGTACATGACTGCCTGGTGATCTGGAGACAAAACACCAGGCCTTATTTATTATGCTGAAAGATAATATTTGGTTTTAATAAAATGACTAAAGGGATAGAAACTGTTGATGTTTAGCCTGTAGAAGCAGGGATAAAGAGGCAGCTTGGTCTTCATTAGTTCAGTCCTGCTGGTTGTGATCTAATCTTTTTTTAAATATATATACTATATATCAGTATTTATACTAATTATCCCAAAGTTGCACACATTTTTGAAACTTAAAAGGAAACTATAAGTGCTTATTTTGGTCATATAAAAAAATCCTAAATTTATTGACTACATTTTAACTCTAAAACTTGAGATCAAGCTCATCTCACTTTACCCAGAGTGATGCAAGGAAGTGGCAGTAGCATACTGTGGGATGTGATGGATGAAGATGATTACAGCCTTTAAGCAGAGTTGCAGGGGAACACGCTCAGCTTCCTTCTCTCCTGCCCTCACTCATCCGTCTTTGACCCAAAGCTTCGCTGTCAGACCTCATATGATTCATCCTCTTTCTCGGTGACGATAGGTCTGTTCCTCTGACATCCCACAGCAGTTCCTAGAGAGACTTCTGTTGGTTCCCCTCAGCAAACAAACAAGCAGCTATCAGGACCCCCTGCAGCTTGCTGATCGCCGTGGAGTCGATGATGCCGTCATACACCTGCTTCAACAAACCTACTATCATTTAGACAAGGCAGACAGCACTGTGAGGATCATGTTCTTTGATTTCTCCACTGCATTTAACACAATTCACTCTGTGAAAAACCCCAGAAGACTCAAACGGAAGCATCAACAATCTGGGTCAAAGACTACCTGACAAACGAGCCACAATCTGTTAGATTGAAGGCTCAGCTGTCTGATCAAGCAGCCAGCAGCACAGGAGCACCACAGGGGACGGTCCTCTCCCCACTCCTTTTTACTCTGTCCATGTCTGACTTCCAGTACCAGGCAGAGTCCTGTTACCTGCTGAAATACATCGGATGCCTCTGCAGTTATCATGTCAATGACTGAGAAGAAGCTGAGTACAGAGAGCTGGTGAACCGCTTTGTGGCATAGTGTGGAAACGATCATCTGATCCTTAAGGTCAACAAAACAAGGTAGATGACCGTAGATTTCAGAAGAAACAGGAACAATTTGAATCCTATTAATATCAAGGGAGAAGAGTTGGAGGTGGTGGAGGAGTAGAAATACGTTGGTGTTCACCTGGACAACAGACACAACTTTGAAGCCGTCTACCAAGAAAGGATGGAGCAGCTTATACTTTATAAAGGAGCTTAGTTCCCTCAGCGTTTGCAGCCTGATGCTACATTTATTCTATCAGTCTGTTGAGGAGAGTTGATCTCTTC